AGTTCCTGCTGGGTGTGGCCAACTCCGGAGCCAGCCGGAACTCCGTTCCTATGCGTTCCTGCCCAAAAATAGCCCTGATCGTAGGTCTGCAGCTTACAGATACACACCTGAACAGCATACTCAGCATTGCAGCAGCACAGACATTTTGATGCAATAATTCAGAGCAAGAGGTGTCAGTTATCAAACACTGTTAAATAAACAAAATATTGCAAGAGTGCTGATGTTTTACGCACGTTTTTTATTTTAAGCAAAAAAAAACCCCTTTGTGTTTGTGTCCTTTATAGAGTTTATATCTGCGCTACCTGGCATTACATTTTATGACACGCATGGCTCGGCCCAACAAGGTCTCATTCATCTCAGAGCCGTCCCTCATATAAACTTTATAGAGTTTATATCTGCGCTACCTGGCATTACATTTTATGACACGCATGGCTCGGCCCAACAAGGTCTAATTAATCTCAGAGCCGTCCCTCATGTAGAGTCCACGCACCAAAACATCAATTTTCTCCAGGGGAACTGATCTCTGGAGATGAGCTGTAATTACAGGGCATCCCCAGGTCCCACCTGGAGGCTGGGGCGTCCCTACTAGAAAAGAAATAAATGCCTCATCCTGTGACGTGCAAAGGAACCTGCCTGTGAAAAGTGAAATGAATAAAACTGCACAGATCAAATCGAAGCTGGGTAGACTCCAACGATTTGTTTTTTAATCTTAAAAAGAGATGGTTGGGACCCAAAGGAAACACACACTAGTCTATTTGTGTTGCTTGCTCAACCGTGTAATTCAGTGATTTTTAGATTGGCTCTGGGCTGTATACAAGGGAAGGTGGTTAATTGAACTTCCCAAGACTGATTGGTTTGTAGCACGCAAAGGCTGTTTTCATACGGGATGCCTGATTCACTTGGCGTTTTCTCCCTCATCCCAAAAGGCTACAGTGACTAGACTGGACATTGTATTGCACAACAGCTTCCTTCCTCTTTGGCTTCCAGGATTAACAACATCCACAAGTGCTGCATTCCAGAAGGCGCCTCAGTCTATGTTGTGGTGGAAGGAAACTCTGCCTTCTTACTCCCAAGTTATCATGCCAAAGGTTGCAGTCGTGTACTCACTTCCTTGACAGCACAAGCTGAATCGATCAAGGAATTACTTGAGCAAGCACAATAAGATTCGGCAAGTTGTTTTCAAGCAGCTATTCTCGAACTGCGGAGCGGCCTCCCTTGAGAGGAACTCGTGGTAACTGGGTGGAGGGGGTTCCAAGGACGGGGAGGATCCTTAGGTACCCTGAACTTGCCAAGATATCAATGTGTCATGCCCAGTGCTCCCTCTAAGCTGCATGTGGAGGAGTGGGGAATCAAACCTGGCTCTCCCAGATTAGTCTGCCCCCCTAACCACTAAACCAAACTGGCTGATCTCTCCAAACAGAGATTCCCCCAGGCAGAAGGAGACCATCTCTTAACCATTAACTCCCACTGACGAAACATTACCCAGCCGTCTTTGAATACTGACCAACCATCGACCAAACAAAGATGTTGTCAGCTCACAACAGTGACAAGTAGGTTGCCTGTAAGAAGACCTTCCCTGATCCACCTTGGAGTCACACGCATACAGCTGTGCACACTGGGCAGCTCCAAGTAGAGTTACACCCTCCTGAGTCCATTGATGCCAATGGACTGGGGTGTAACTCCACTTGAGAGTCAGTTTGGTGTAGTGGTTAAGTGCGTGGGCTCTAATCTGGGAGAACCGGGTTGGATTCCCCACTTCTCAACTTGCAGCTGCTGGTTGACCTTGGGGCAAGCCATAGTTCTGTCAGAGCTGTTCTCTCAAGGACAATTCTGGGAAGAGCTCTCTCGGCCCCACCTACCTCACAGGGCATCTGTTGTGGGGAGGGGAAGGGAAAGGAGTTTGTAAGTCACTCTGAGACTCCCAAGTGAAGGGCGGGGTATAAATCCAATCTCCTCCTCCTCCTCTTCTTCTTCAGACTGGACTGTCAAGGACCACAGTAGCTCCGCTTGGGATTCAGCCAGCAAGTAAATGTGTTACAGCAAGACCAGTCATGCATCGTGAAAACACTGTAAAGGTTAGCGTATATCGTGGCAGAAGCTTTTGGGGACAAGCAAGAACAGAGACCCAGCATGTGCACATTTCTTCATGTACACAAACTTTATTCAGACGACTTTGTGAGCTGCTGGCATTAAAGTTGCGAGCGAGCGATTCGGCTACTTACATAAATCAGTTTGCTCTGGAGCCCATCCTTTCCTGAGCTAAGGTGAAAATGTGTGGTCCAAAGCCTAAAAAACTGTGAGCTAGCTCACAGTAACTCAACTTAGAGGGATCACTGCTCCAGACTCAGGGGCGGATTAACCATGAAGCATATTGTTTATATTGTTTACCTTGACTTCCAGAAAGCTTTTGATAAAGTTCCTCATCAAAGGCTCCTAAGTAAGCTCAAAAATCATGGGATAAAAGGACAAGTCCTTTTATGGATCAAAAACTGGCTAATTAATAGAAAACAGAGAGTGAGTATAAATGGGCAGTTCTCCCAGTGCAGGGGGGTAAGCAGTGGGGTACCGCAGGGATCAGTACTTGGTCCACTGCTTTTTAACTTGTTCATTCATGATTTGGAGTTGGGAGTAAGCAGTGAAGTGGCTAAATTTGCGGATGATACGAAGTTGTTCAGGGTGGTGAAAACCAGTGAGGATTGTGAGGCACTCCAAAGGGATCTGTCAAAGATGGGCGAGTGGGCGTCAACATGGCAAATGGGGTTCAATGTGGCCAAGTGCAAGGTGATGCACATTGGATCATTGATGGGGTCTGAACTGGCAGAGACTGATCAAGAGAGAGATCTTGGAGTTGTAGTAGATAACTCACTGAAAATGTCGAGACAGTGTGTGACTGCAATAAAGAAGGCCAATGCTATGCTGGGGATTATTAGGAAGGGTATTGTAAACATATCAGCCAATATCATAATGCTGCTATATAAATCAATGGTGCGACCTCATCTGGAATACTGTGTGCAATTCTGGTCACCACACCTTAAAAAGGATATTATAGCTTTGGAAAAAGTGCAGAAAGGGGCAACTCGAATGATAAAAGGGTTGGAACACTTTCCCTATGAGGAAAGGTTAAGGCGCTTAGGGCTCTTTAGCTTGGAGAAACGACGACTGAGGGGTGACATGATTGAGGTTTATAAGATTATGCATGGGAAATAGCAGGTAGAGAAAGAGGTACTTTTCTCCCTTTCTCACAATACAAGAACCCGTGGGCACTCCATGAAACTGCAGAGCGGTCGGGTTAGAACGGATAAAAGGAAGTACTTCTTCACCCAAAGAGTGATTAACACATGGAATTCACTGCCACAGGAAGTGGTGGCGGCTACAAGCATGGACGGCTTCAAAAGGGAATTAGATAAGCATATGGAGCAGAGGTCCATCAGTGGCTATTAGCCACAAGGTATAGATAGGGACTCTGGGGCAAGTGATGCTCTGTCTTCTTGGTGCTTGGGGAGGGGGGTCAACAGTGGGATGGCTTCTAATGTCCTGGCCCCCCTGGTGGCCCTCCTGATGGCACTGGTATTTCTGGCCACTGTGTGATACAGAGTGTTGGACTGGATGGGCCTTTGGCCTGATCCAACATTGGCATCTCTTATGTTCTTATGTTCTTAAGCAGACTAAACACGTGCTGTCTCCAAATTGATGTCTTTACCCCCGATTAGTTTGCGGCGGAGCTTAGGGTCCTTGACTGCCCAGACGAATTGGGTGAGGATGATGTCTTCCACATCTGTAAACTCACAGTCCATGGCGAGTCGGCGTAGCTCTGCCATGAAGATGGTGGCCGCTTCTCCTGTTGTCTGGGTATGCGCAAGTAAGTCCATGCGCTTGGCCATTTTTGTCAGCTTTGACACGAAGTAGTTCGCCAAGGCCGTGATGAGCTCGTCAAACGATGCCTCCGCAATTTTCTTGAGGGCAATGAGACCCCGAGCCAAGTGGACTGTGGCGATGCCGCAGGTGCAGATGAGCAAATACTTTTTCTTGTTGGCGTTGGTCACATCTACCCATGCCTCCCATAACTCCGGGTGTGCAGGATCGAAGGTTGAGATGGTCCCCGGAGCAGCAGCCATGACTCTGGGAGTGATGCAGGGCACAGTGACCTGGGAATCTGTGCGCGGTGCGGCTGGTCCAGGGGCAGCAATGCGGGGTGCAGAGTCCTGGAGGTCAGTGTGCGGCATGGTGCTTGAGTCCATGACTGGACCACTCATGGGCCCGTTCCTTGCCAGTGAAATATACTGGGTTCCAAGGCCTAGCATAGTGATCAGCTCACAGTTTATTTGAAGTAAAGGTAAAGGTCTCCCTTGCTCGAAAGCCAGCCGAATCCGACTCTAGGGTTGCGGTGCTCATCTCCGTTTCAAAGCCGAAGAGCCAGCACTGTCCGAAGACGTTTCTGTGGTCGTGTGGCCGGCATGACTAAACACCAAGGCGCACACCTATTGATCTACTTGCAATTTCTTGCTTTCGAACTGCTAGGTTGGCAGGAGCTGGAACTAGGTTTATTTACAGTGCACTCCGTTCCCCATAGGTTCCTACGTGGATCCTAACTGACGGATAGGCCCGTTGTAGGATCCGAGCTGGCTACTGTTTTTGGATGCGAGGCTTTGCTCTTCCGCTTGTCCACGTGCTCAGGTGAGCGCGGGTCCCCCTGCCTCCCCTCCTCCCCCTCCTCTGGCGACCCTCCCTGAAGGCACCGCCGCAGCCGGCGCAGCAGCAGCAGCAGCGGACGTGCGTCCCGACTTTTCCCCCTCCTCTTCCCTTCCTCTCCAGCCCGCCTCCCCCAGCCTGGCAGAGCGACGAGCTCAAGTTGCAGCTTGGAAAAGCGGCGGAGGGAGAGAGGGAAGCCGGGAGCGAGGCGGAGGGGCGGGGAGTGCCCGGGGTTGGGCATCGAGGGGCGGGCTTGCTCGCTGCGCTGCCCGGGCGCGTCCTCCTCCTCCTCCTCCTCGTCTCCAGTGGCGATGCTAGCCAGAGGCCGCCGCGGCTGAGCCTTTGGGTGGGGGCGCCGGCCAAGTTGGGCTTCGTTGCGCGCCGTCGGGCTTGCAGCGCAGGGGCTGGGCGGGCCGGGGCGTCGGGCTCGGCGGCGTCGGCTGCCTATGAAGGACTCCCTGCCGGGCTCGTCGTCGGCCGGAGCTGGGCAGGAGGCGGCGGCGGCGGCGGGGCGCGCCATGGACGGCGTTGGCGTTGGCGTCGGCGTGTCCCCCTGGTCGCGGGGCTGCTCGTCGCCGGCGCTGGAGAAGAGCGCGGCGGAGCTGACGGTGATGGACGTGTACGACCTGGCCTCGCTGGTGGGCCAGGAGTTCGAGCGCCTCATCGACGCGCACGGCTGCGAGGCGGTCGGCCGCCTGATGCCCAAGGTGGTGCGCGTCCTGGAGCTGCTCGAGGGGCTGGCCGGCCGCAACCACCTCAACCCCGAGCTCGACGAGCTCCGCCTCGAGCTCGACCGCCTCCGCCTCGAGCGGGCCGACCGCATCGAGAAGGAGAGGAAGCACCAGAAGGTCAGCCGCCGCCGGGCGGGGAGGGAGGGGAGGCCGGGCGGCCGGGCAGAGGGACCTCGTCTCGCCGGCCGGAGCTGCCTCCAGACGCGGCGGCTTGCGAGGGAATAGGGCCTCCTCTGAGCATGGGCAGAGGGCCTCCCTCTTCTTGCCGGGTAGTTGCGGAGAATGGGGCCTCTGAGCATGGGCCTCCCTCTTCTTGCCGGTAGTTGCACAGAATAGGGTCTCTGAGCGTGATCAGAGGACCTTTCTCTTACAGCCGGGTAGTTGCAGAGAATAGGGTCTCTGAGCATGGGCAGAGGGCCTCCCTCTTCCAGCCGGGTAGTTGCGGAGAATGGGGTATCTGAGCATGGGCAGAGGGCCTTTCTCTTCCGGCCGGGTAGTTGCAGAGAATATGGTCTCTGAGCGTGGGCAGAGGGCCTCCCTCTTCTTGCCGGGTAGTTGCACAGAATATGGTCTCTGAGCGTGATCAGAGGGCCTTCCTCTTCTTGCCGGGTAGTTGCACAGAATATGGTCTCTGAGCGTGGGCAGAGGGCCTCCCTCTTCTTGCCTGGTAGTTGCGGAGAATAGGGTCTCTGAGCATGGGCAGAGGGCCTTCCTCTTGGTAGTTGCGGAGAATAGGGTCTCTGAGCATGTGCAGAGGGCCTCCATCTTCTGGCCATGTTGTGGAGAATAGGGTCTCTGAGCATGGGCAGAGGGCCTTTGTCTTCTTGCTGGGTAGTTGCAAAGATCACACACACTGATCCTATAGATTCAGGTGGGTCGCCGCATTGGTCTGAAGCAATAGAACAAAGTTTGAGCCCAGGGCACCCTTAAAACCAACAAAGTTTTGTTCTGGGTATAAGCTAGCAAATAGCAGAGGGGATTTCTGGAGCTCACCTGTGCCAGGATTTTCTGGTTCCCTTCATTTTTGGCATCGCAAGTGTCCCGCCATCACCCGGAAGCGGTTGGCCGATCTTGAGACTCCTAGCTTTATTTTCTGGGGGATTATTCCTATCGCAAACAGAGTAACTTAGCTTCCATTGCAAACAGCATGCCAGGGGTTACACACGGAAGCTTCTACCCAGAGAATACAAGTTTGTCGGTCTTCAAAGTGCCACTGGACTCAAATCAGATTCTGGGTTTCCAGAAGTGTTTCTCCCCTGACCCGAAACCTCTGATCATAACCTAAGTAAAGAAGGGGAAGGGAATCTCTGAGCATGGACAGAATGCCTTCTGTGGCTATGGTTCAGAGGAAGAGCCTCTGCTTGGCATGCAGAAGGTCCCAGGTTCAATCCCAGTGGTGATGTGATGTGAAAGACCTCCGCCTGAGACCCTGGAGAGCCACTGCCAGTCTGAGTAGACAATAATGACCTTGATGGACTGGCACTCTGAGTCAGTATAAGGCAGGTTCATGTGCTCATCACTGACTACCTGGCATCACCGACGCACATAAAACTATAATTCATGTGGCGTGCCCTGGCATCTCTTGTTCTTTCTTTCGTTCCTGCCTAGCCCTATGCATCTTAGGTAAAGGTAAAGGTTCCCTTGCTCGGAAGCCAGTCGAGTCCGACTCTAGGGTTGCGGTGCTCATCTCCGTTTCCAAGCCGAAGAGCCAGCGCTGTCCGAAGACGTTTCCGTGGTCATGTGGCCGGCATGACTAAACACCAAGGAGCACGGAACGCTGTTACCTTCCCACCAAAGTGGTACCTATTTATCTACTTGCAGTTTCTTGCTTTCGAACTGCTAGGTTGGCAGGAGCTGGAACTAGAGACGGGAGCTCACCCCGTCATGCGGCAACCCGGGTCTCGACTGCTGACCTTCCACAGCCTGCAGTTCAGTGTCTTAACCACTTGAGCCACCGCAGCTCCTTTCTATGCATCTTACTCAGAAGTAAATCCCATCAGTTGCAGTGGGAGTTCCACTCCATCGTAGGCCCATAGTTGCCATCTCAGCTGGAAGGCTCCCCCAGCTGAATTCCAGAAGTATGTGTGTGACTTACGTGCCATGGAGTTGCTTCTGACTTATGTCAACCCGATGAGTTAATGACCTCCAAAATGTCCTAAATTCCAGAAGAGCAGTGGGGGAAGTGTACTCTGCACATGGCCAAAGGCGCTTGTTACATGCTGTGGATCTAAGTTGTGGTTTCAAAGACAAATTCGGGGGCTGGAGTCCTGGAGGCTAAACGGGAGTCTCTGCTGAGACCCTGAATGGAAGAATAACCCAGCAGGATCAGTTGCCGTAGCCATCCAGTCCAGCGTCTTCTGTAGCAGCCAGCCACTCATGGTAGCCCTCCCAACTGCCATTCAGAGGTATACTGCCTCTGAACATGGAGTTTCCATTTAGCCCCATGGCTTAGCAGTCATAGAGGGACTTCTCCATCAATTTACAAATTCCCCCCCCCCCCTGGGCGTGTGTGTGTGTATGTGTGCTTGCATGCCTGGAAGTCATGGTGACTTCTGGTGTCCCCTTCTGGGGTTTGGAGAGTTTTCAGAGAGGTGGCTTGATGTAGTGTTTAAGAGTGCGGACTCTGATCTGGGAGAACCCAGTTTGATTCCTCACTCCTCCACATGCAGCCACTGGTGTGACCTTGGGTCAGTCACAAGTTCTCTCAGAGCTTTTCTCTCAAGGGCAATTCTCTCTCTCTCTCTCAGCCCCACCTACCTCACAGGGTGTCTGTTGTGGGGAGGGGAAGGGGAAGGGAAAGGGATCGTAAGCTGCTCTGAGACTCCCTTGGGTACTGAAGGGAGGGGTCTAAATCCAATCTCCTCTTATTCGTCTGGATTGCCTGCCTCTGCGTCTCCAACCCTGGGGTCTCCCTTCCAGTCACTTGCCAGGGTCAGCCCTGCTTAGCTTCCGAGATCTGACGCGATCTGGCTTGCCTGGGCTACCCAGGTCAGGGCTTGAATCCCCTTTTAAAGCCACTGAAATTGTTTTCCCATCCCTTCACCTTGTGGCAATGAGTCCCACACATTAACGATACAGTGTGTGAATGAGCTTCCTTCGTTCGAGAGAGCCGCAAAAGAGGAAGAAAGGAAGGAGTTCAGAACAGGAATCTAGGGAACAGAGGATATAGGAGCTGGCAAAACTGCTGTGGATTCGTTCATCCCTCTTGGTGCAGCCAAAATATCCGAACCTGGGCCTGCCTCTGATTTGGCTCCACGTTCAAGTGAGTGTCGGCAACTTTCTGAAAAGACCAGGGGCCCTTGACTCGCTCCACCCAGAACAAAAAGCGATCATATGATGACAGACGTCATTTCTGGCGGGTGGCGTTAACCGCTCCGGAGAGGATGCTAAAGAATTTGGAATTTTGTTTTGGCAAGAGGAGTATTTAGTTCTGGGCTAAGAATCCTGCGACCACCTCTGAATCTCAGCGCCTGTAAACAAGCCGGCCGGGACTTGCTACACGAATAGAAGGAACTAATCTAAATTTAACCTCCCCTTTGCATCCTGGAGAGATGAAACAGGAGCGTGTGGGAGGAGGGGACAATTCCTCCCCCCTCTTTTATATTATTTCAGGCAGGGCTCTGTTTGCATTTGAGAAAGGCCACATTTCCTGAATCATATTCTCTTTTGGGTACTTAACATGAAGCAGCTTAGGAGGACGGTTTAATGGGAGCCCACTTTGATTGGACCAAAGGTCCTTGTAATTCAGCATCCTGTTTCCTAGAGCAGCCAATCAGATGCTCACACAAGCAGGGACCCCTGTCATGGTCCCCCAAGAACAGCCTCTGACATGGAAGACCCATTTGGCCATCACGGCTTGTAGCCATCGATGGACCTCTTTTCCATGAATCTGTCAAGGATCCTCTTCAAACCATCTAAACCAGGGGTGTCGAACTCGTTTGTTACGAGGTCCGGATCTGACAGAAATGAGACCTTGTTGGGCCGGGCCATGTGTGCCATAAAATGTAATGCCAGGTAGCGGAGATATAAACTTTATAAAGGACACAAACACAAAAGGGTTTTTTTTTACTTAGAATAAAAACATGCTTAAAACATTAGCACTCCTGCAATATTTTGTTCATTTAACAGTGTTGAATAACTGACACCTCTTGCTCTGAACCATTGCATCAAAACGTCTGTGCTGCTGCAATCTTGAGTATGCTGTTCAGGTGTGTATCTGTAAGCTGCAAACCTACGATGATGCAGCAGCAGCAGAAGACAGCCGGTTCCACTGCGGGCCTGATAGAAGCCCTCCGGGGGCCTGATCCATCCCCCGGGCCACATGTTTGACACCCCTGATCTAAACGAAAGCCAGCCACTTCCCGTCTATGGTACTGAGTGCCACAGAGAAGGCCGGTAGTTCAGCATTTCGAGATCAGAGTGTGCTGCATGATAAAGTGAGCTCCGGTCTCTAGTTCCAGCTCCTGCCAACCTAGCAGTTCGAAAGCAAGACATTGCAAGTAGATAAATAGGTACCACTTTGGTGGGAAGGTGACAGCGTTCTGTGCGCCTTGGTGTTTAATCATGCCGGCCACACGACCACGGAAACGTCTTTGGACAGCGCTGGCTCTTCGGCTTGGAAACGGAGATGAGCACCGCAACCCTAGAGTCGGATTCGACTGGCTTTCGAGCAAGGGAACCTTTACCTTTACCTAATTATTTTATAAAGATGTGAAGCTTCCTCATATTGACTGAGACCCTTGGTCCATCATGGTCAGTATTGCCTACTCAGACTGGCAGCAGCTCCCCAGAGGCTCAGGCTGAGGTCTTTCTCGTCCTCTACTGCCTGGTCCTTTTAACTGGACATGCTGGGGATTGAACCTGGGACCTTCTGCATGCAAAACAGATACCCGGACGCATGAAGCTGCCTTATGCAGAATCGGACCCTCAGTCCATCAGAGTCAGTATTGTCTACTCCGACTGGCAGCGGCTCTCCAGGGTCTCAGGCGGAGTTCTTTTCCATCACCTACTGCAGTGGTGGCGAACCTGTGGCACGGGTGCCAGAGGTGGCACTCAGAGCCCTCTCTGTGGGCACGCGTGCCATCGCCCCAGCCAGGCCCAGACCATCATTAAAGTGTCAAATTCTCTGCCAAATAATTTTAAGTAGATTTATTTCCTTACTTTGTTTGGATCATCTTAAGTTAATGTATGAGTTGTTTTTTCTGAAATAAAACTTCAGTATTCAGGTTAAATTGCCGTGTTGGCACTTTGCGATCAATAAGTGGGTTTTGGGTTGCAGCTTGGGCACTCGGTCTCTAAAAGGTTCGCCATCACTGGCCTACTGCCTTGTTCTTTTAACTGGAGATGCCAGGGATCGAACCTGGGACCTGTTGCATGCTAAGCAGATGCTCGACCACTAAGCCATCACCCAACCCGACTTGGTCACTTTTTTCCCTAAGCAGAAACCCCCAGACAGCTTTCTCTCCTCCGGAATGCGCCAGAACCCTGGGATCATTTTTTTTAAATTAACATTTTGTTGAAAGATAAATATGAAATACAGAGACATAAGAATTTCACAATAACTGGTATAACAGTTACAAAATTCAATCAGAGCTATTGTCTATAGAGCAGTGGTTTTATTGTAATTATGTGCTGATTTTGCGTGAGCCGCCCCGGGATGGGAGGGCGGGGTTAAAATTCAATCAATCAATCAATCAATCAATACGTAAAATAAATTGAAAATAGAGGGGGAAGGGAGAAAGAAGAGGAGGGTGAAATAAATAAATAAACCAGGAGAGAAGAGAAAGAGATACCGAGCTATATAACCCTGATGTAATCACCATAAATGTAATTGATTCATAATGCAAGGTATTTCATCTTGCTTCGTTAAATAGTCCAATATTGGGAGGGAAGTAGCAGGAAAGTTAGTAAGAGTGGATGCAGATGCGAGTGGAGAGGTGTTAAGTGTTATTCTAGCCATGATGTAATCATCCCAGAGTTATCCTGGGATCGTTTTATTAGTCCTTTTCTGGCTGCACAAGATAGGGATGCCATCCTCCAGGTGGGACCTGGTGAACCCCCGGAATTACAGCTTCTCTCTAGACGACAGAGTTCCGTTACCCCTGGAGAAAATGGATGCTTTGGAGGGCGGACTCTGTGGCATTGTGCCCCAGTGAGGTCCCTGTCCTCCCCCGGCTCCATCCCCCTAATCTTGAGGAGTGGATCTGGCACCCCTAAACTACAAGATCTTTCTTCTGAGATGGGAGAACCGGAATTGTCGATGGGATTGGTGCCACTTGAGGTCTAAGCAAGGGCCGTAAAAAAAAAAAAAAGGCTGGCGGTTTCTTTTCCAGTCACACGGCGATGAGGAGATAGGGGACAGAGGGCAGGCCTGGCCAGTCCCGTTGCCTGGCATGTTTTCGCCCAGGTTTGCTTCCTGCTGGCTCGGCAGAAATGACTCTTTTGTTCCTTCCTGCTCAGCAAGTTTGAAAGCCGGGGCTGGAGGGGAGGGGAGAGGCTGCGAGAGGGGTGGGGGTGAGGGGGGAAGGTGGTAGGCTGGGCGGCAGGGAGAGTCGGACCCCCTAAAATAAGAGAGAGTGGAATGAGGATGGTTCTAGGGGTGGGCCGGGGGGGGGACTCATTACAGACTTCCTCTTGTTTTGTGTGTTTTTTTTAAATTTCCAGGCGAGATAGTGTGCTGCCCTACTTTCCCCCTCAATAAGTGCTCCACAAACCTCATTTTGGAGAGACAGGCTCCAATCCCCGCTCTGTTAAATGGAGGCTCACTGGGTGACCTTCGGCCTGTCGCTCACTCAGTTTGATGTAGTGGTTAGGAGCGTGGACCAGTGCTCCGTCTGAACTGTGGGGTCTTGTGAGCAAAAATTCTACTTTGTGAGCGACTGGCATTAGAGTTGTGAGCCTGCTGCATAAATCAGTTTGCTCTGGAGCCCTCCTTCCTGAGCTAGGACAAAAATGTGCGAGCCGGAGGCTAAAAAAACTGTGAGCTAGCTCACACTCACTCAGCTGAGAGGGAACACTGGCGTGGACTCTAATCTGGAAGAACCGGGTTTGATTCCCCACTCCTCCACAGGCAGCTGCTGGTGTGACCTTGGGTCAGTCACAAGTTCTCTCGGAGCTGCTCTCTCAAGGGCAGTTCTAGAGAGAGAGAGAGAGAGAGAGAGAGCTCTCAGCCCCGCCTACCTCGCAGGGTGTCTGTTGTGGGGAGGGGAAGGGAAAGGAGATTGTAAGCCACTCTGTGACTCCTTCGGGTAGTGAAGGGTGGGATATAAATCCAATCTCTTCTACTTCTTCTCTCAGCCTGACTTACCTCACAGGACTGTTGTGGGGATAAAATAGAGAAGGGGAGAACAACGTTGTAGGCTGATTTGGGTCCCCGCTGGGGGAGAATAGCAGGGTGTAAATACATACTTAAAATAGAATTGCCAGTTGATAAAGAACTACAGCCTGGAAGGATCTGGCATAATATTTTTTTTAATTTTGTGTCGATTTTTATACCTCACCTTTCTCCCCAGCAGGAACCCCGAGCAGCTCTAACATCTTTCTGCCCTCCCCTTTTGCCTTACAACAACAGCCCTGTGAGGTAGGTGAGGCTGAGAGAGGTTGACCGACCCAAGGTCACCCAGCAATAGAGTTACCAGATGTTTATTTATTTATTTTTTATTATTTATTTATTTAAGCATTTTTACCCCGCCCTCCCCGCAAGCGGGCTCAGGGCGGCTTACAGGGGGCCCAAGCCCATACATAAAATCCAGTATAACAATAAAATCACAACAATAACAATAAAGTGCATTCATTATCAAGCTTGGTCTTAAGTGTTAAGATGGTCTTAAGTGTTAAGATGGTCTTAAGTGTTAAGATGGTATCATCCAGCAACCCCATTGGGTACCACTATCCAGTAGGTGGTTCGTGCCAACCCCCTGTTCTCATTGCCGCGTAGATCTCATTGCCGCATGGGCTACTAAGGGCAATTCCCGATCTCGATGGTATTGCCGCCATTGGTGGTGGTGGTGGCAGCGGCGGCCCCTATGCGAAAGCCTGGTGGAAGAGCTCCGTCTTACAGGCCCTGCGGAACTGCATAAGGTCCCGCAGGGCCCGGATCTCCTCCGGGAGCTCATTCCACCGCCCTTTTTAGAGGACATGTCCCCCTTTTTTTGTATCCATCCTCATTTGGGCTCTTTAAAAAAAAAAACCACGATGGAAATGTCCTCTTTTTGGGTTGGAAGGTTATGAATATTCCTAGCTAGCAACAGTTATCACAGCTTAAAGAGTACGGGTGTTTAAAAGGAGATTTGTTCTAGCGATCACTTGTTTGAAGCAGTCAGTCAGGAAATAGGTCCTCTCTTTTGCTTTTCAAAATATGGTAACCCTACCCAGCAAGCTTCCCAGGCAGTGCAGGGATTCGAACCTGGGTCTCCCAGATTGTCGTTGGACACTCTTAAACACTGCACCACATTGCCTCTTTCCAATAACAGCAGCTTGGTCTTCACATATGAAAAGGCAAAGTTTTCCCCATCTTACACGTGAGCACTGTCGTCTTCTAAGGCCTGCACTTTTTAAGTGGCTGTTAAAAATACAGGAGCATGAGCCAAAAAGGAAGTTGGCAACCTCATTTCCAAGTGGGCCCGCCAAGGCTCCAAGCAAGCTTTCTTCCAAAAGGTGCAGCGGAGTGATTTCCCACTCCGTGTCCCAAGTACAGTTGCCAGCAGTGTTCCCTCTAAGCTGAGTTAGTGTGAGCCAGCTCACACTTTTTTAGCCTCCGGCTCACACATTTTTGCCTTAGTTCAGGAAGGATGGCTCCAGGGCAAACTAACTTATGCAGTAGCCAGATCGCTCGCTCACAGCTTTAATGCCAGTAGCTCACCAAGTAGAATTTTTGCTCACAAGACTACATAGCTTAGAGCTGGGGTGTCAAACATGCAGCCCGGGGGCCGGATCAAGCCTCCGGAGGGCTTCTATCAGGCCTTCAGTGGAACTGGCTGGCTTCTGATTCTTGTTCCAGTTCTGCTGCTGCTGCGTCATCATAGGTTTGCCGTTTACAGAGACACACTTGAACAGCATACTCAAGATTGCAGCAGCACAGACATTTTGATGCAATAATTCAGAGGAAGAGGTGTCAGTTATCAGACACTGTTAAATAAACAAAATATTGCGGGAGCGCTAATGTTTTAAAGGTAAAGGTTTTCCTTGCTCGAAAGCCAGTCGAATCTGACTCTAGGGTTGCGGTGCTCATCTCCGTTTCAAAGAGCCAGCGCTGTCCGAAGACGTTTCCGTGGTCATGTGGCCGGCATGACTAAACACCAAGGCGCACGGAACGCTGTTACCTTCCCACCGAAGTGGTCCCTATTGATCTACTTGCAATTTCTTCTTTCGAACAACAACCTTTGTGTTTGTGTCGTTTATAAAGTTTATATCTCCGCTATCTGGCATTACATTTTATGACACACGTGGCCCGGCCCCACAAGGTCTCATTTATGTCAGATCCGGCCCTCAGGACAAACGAGTTCGACACCCCTGGCTTATGCAGTAGCCAAATCGCCCGTTCACAACTTTAATGCCAGTAGCTCACCAAGTAGAATTTTTGCTCACAAGACCCCACAGCTTAGAGGGAGCATCGGTTGCCAGCTCTGGGTTGGGAAATTCCTGGAGATATTTTTTTGGGGGGTGGGGTGGAGGGTGGGGTTCGGGGAGGGATCTCAGTGGGGAATTATGCTGTAGAGCGCACCCTTCGAGGCAGCCATTTCCCTCAGGGAACTGTTGTGATTCCGGGAGACTGGCAAGTCTGGCGCCAGGGGCAGCGCACCAGCAGGCCAGAGTCAGGGAAGGAGACCCTCTGCCGAGTCAGAGCCCCCCCTCCCCCCCGAGCCTGAGGGCCCGTGGTCTTCTCTCCCCTCAGGAGCTGGAGCTGGTGGAAGATGTGTGGCGAGGGGAGGCCCAAGACCTCCTCACCCAGATCGCTCAGCTGCAGGAGGAAAACAAGCAGCTGCTGACCAACCTCTCCCACAAAGATGTCAATTTCTCGGAGGAAGAGTTCCAGAAACATGAAGGCAAGTACATCCCCCGCTCCTCCGAGGATTGGCACGTGTTCTTAGAATGACACCCCCCCCCCCCCGGGGTGTTTTTGGCGGCGACAACTGGAAAACTCAGGTTTAGATTTGCATAGCTGCTCCTTGCAGAGGCGATCGCCTAGGTCCCAGTTTGGTGTAGTGGTTAAGTGCGCTGACTCTAATCTGGGAGAACCGGGTTTGATTCCCCACTCCTCCACTCGCAGCTGCTGGATGACCTTGGGCAAGCCGTAGTTCTGACAGAGCTGTTCTCTCTAGGACAGTTCTGGAAAGAGCTCTTGCAGCCCCGCCTACCTCCCAGGGTGTCTGTTGTGGGGAGGGGAAGGGAAAGGAGATTGTAAGGCGCTCTGAGACTCCCTTGGGTAGTGAAGGGCGGGGGATAAATCCAATCTCTTCTCCCAGAGAACATCAGGGTTCCGCAGGGCCTGTAAAATGGAGCTCTTCCGCCAGGCGTTCGATTAGGGGGCGCCACTGAGGGGTGTGCCCTGGAACATCTTTTGGCTGAACTTGGATCATCTCCTGGCTAGAGTCTCCGCTGGTTACTACCCCATCTCAGGATTTGATTGGATTACCGCCATAGTTGGTTCTGTAATGTTGTTTTAACTGATATTGTATTTATTAATTGTTTTAATTTCTTGTTATGTTATTTAATCTTCTTAGTCACCTTGAGCCTGCTTGTCAGGCAAGGCAGGGTATAAATACAAACAATAAATGAATAAATAAATATTCTTCCCTGGAGCACGTGAGAGCCACGTATTGTTAGTGGCTCTCCTTCCCTTTCAGGCTGCTTCCACACGTCACTGGATGACGCACCCTTCGGTGCACCAGAGCCATCGTTTGCAGCTGGGGTTTGCACTGTAGCAAACAGTTGGTGTCCAATGGGTGAGAAAGTCTGCCGAAGTCTGTAAATGTGTGTTTCAAATTAGTTTGTTTGGGTATGTTAGCCCCCCCCCCATACTCACACACGTATGTGTGTGCGCAGAAGAGACAATCGCATTTTTATAATGTTGTTTCATCAAAGAGCAATACAAGTGGCTCTTCCCTAGCTCCATTTCCTCCTCCCAACAACCCTGCAAGGAAGGGTAGGCTGGCAGGGTGGCTGAAAATCAGTGAACTCTGTTTCTGAGTGGGGATCTGATACCAAGCCTCTCCATTCCCAGTTCATTCACTACACCACCCCAGGTAAACAATATTTTGAGTAAATTCATTATGGGGGAGGTTTAGTTCGAAAAAGAGATGTTCAGGGGCTCAGCCTGGGCGACAGCCTTCCTTCGACCCGGCTCCTTAATCCTACGTGTATGCAGGTGTTCGCTTACAGCAATGATATCACCCAAAGATCAGTTTTTAAAGCAAAGGGATTTGTGCTTTTGACATGCAGGTTTAGGATTCAAGCAGAGGGATTTGTGCTTTTTAAATTTTGTGTGTGTGTCTGCCTGCACCTGGAAGTCATGGCGACCTCTGGTGACTGACCCCTACTGGGGGCCTGAAGGATGAGAGAGGTGGCTGAATAAAGCCTGCCTCTGTCCTCCCAACTGCTGATATTCCAAGGAGGTCTCCCATCAAAATACTTCCCAGACCTGACCCTGCTTAGCTTCCGAGATCTGATGAGATCAGGCTTGCCTCGGCTATCCAGGGCAGGGCAGGGATGGGATTTGTGCTTTTGTCATGCAGGTTTACGGTTAAAGCAAAGGGATTTGTGCTTTTGACATGCAGGTTTACGGTTAAAGCAAAGGGATTTGTGCTTTTGACATGCAGGTTTAGGATTCAAGCAAAGGGATTTGTGCTTTTGACATGCAGACTTAGGATCTAGGCCTGTTGAATTCTTTCTACCCATAGGTGTCTTGTGGATAGAAGCAATGAGCTGGGCAAAAAATCTTCTAGAGGCTCTTAAGAAAGAATTACATGCAGGCGGGGGTGGGAGTGCCTTCCCTAAAGGGCACCAGACATCTGGACTCGTTGCCGTACCAGCCGACAGGATGCCAAAACAGACTAGGGTGCCAACCATCTCCCTCTGGTACATCTGGCAGTGCCTCTTTGCAAGCCTCCGCAGGACCAAGCAAGTGGCTTCCTATTTCACAGATAACTATTTCTGTTTGGCCTAACCTCCTTAGGAAGCTCTGTGGGAGTAGCAGCTGTTTTGGTGGGAATTAATTCCACCCCGGAGCTGTAGGGGAGCAGGACGGAATGTTCGCAGCTGAGTTAACCCTTCCCTTCCTGTGATCACCCTTCACCCAGAGCGGATGATGAGCAATCCGTCCATCCGGTCCCCACCTTCTACCCAACCAGACAGGTCATCGGGAGCCCTTGTCCTCTCTCGCAGGGGTGAGCAAAGGACATTCCATAGATTTATGACACAGACATCCTTTTTCCCTCAAAGAGGGCTCTGAGCTTCTTAACACAATTTCCCATCAGGCCCATAGCCACGGGAGGTGGCGGCGGCTACAAGCATGGACGGCTTCAAAAGGGAATTAGATAAGCATATGGAGCAGAGGTCCATCAGTGGCTATTAGCCACAAGGTGTAGATAGGGACTCTGGGGCAAGTGAGGCTCTGTCATCTTGGTGCTTGGGGGGGTTAACAGTGGGAGGGCTCCTAGTGTCCTGGCCCCACTGGTGGACTTCCTGATGGCCCCTGGTATTTCTGGCCACTGTGTGACACAGTGTTGGACGGGATGGGCCTTTGGCCTGATCCAACATTGGCGTCTCTTATGTTCTGGGGGGGGGGCATTTGGGGGCAATGCCCCCCCCCACAGACAAGCGCCACCCCCTTGGACAAAAAAAAAACCAATTTTTTTTAAGAAAGAAAAAAATCAAGAAATTTTTTAACAGATGTAAGATGCACATGGGGTTTCCAGAATGACCCCAGGCATAATCAGGGAAGCTTCAGCCTCATTTTCTTTTCCCTGGGCCGAAAAACAAATAGGTTTTTTAAAAAATACAATCAAATAAAATTGCAAAAAATTAAATAAGATTGCAAAATGAAATGCAAAAGAGAGAGTCGGAGACTTCCCCCCCCTTCCCCGACTCATACCAGAAAGCAGCCTGGAATCAGGTTTCTCCAATCAAAAGGACTAGAGGAGGACAAGAGGCTGCAGCAGAGCCGGAGCTCCTTCTGCTGCTGCTGCAAGAGGAGCAGCAGGTGCGGCCGGGGCATCCCCCCGGATTTCCCCACGCCCCACCAATCAATATTTTCTGGCTACGCCCGTCTCCCATCCAAACACAGGTTTTACTTACTTCATTTATTTCCCTCCTTTCTCCCCAGTGGAGACCCAAAGCATGTAACATAGTTCTCTTCTCCCTTTTCTTCTCACAACAACCCTGCGAGGTAGGTTAGGCTGAGTGTGTGTGCCTGGCCCAAGGTCACCCAGCAAGCTTCCATGATGGAGTGAGGAATTCGAACCTGGGTCTCCCAGATCCTAGTCCAATCCAGGGGTCCCCAACCATTTTCAGCCACCTTTGGAATTTTGATACACAGTGGTGGGCACACCCACAAAATGGCCGTTGCAGGAGGCGGAGCCAACTACAAAATGTCAGGATCCTGCATAATTCTAGTAGTAGCTCTTCAGTGTTTCAGGGAGTAACTGTGTTTGAAAATATGCCTTTAAAAATTAAACTGTTCTCAAAAATATTGTCTTACATACACGCAGCTCCAGTGTGTGATTGCAGATAAAATCTTTGTGTCGTGGTGGCAGTGCAGCCAATCAGTTCTGGAGTAGCCAGTCAGAAGCCCTCCTGGCAAAAGCCCCGCCTGGCCTCACCCTCCCACTTTCTAAAACCAGTTGGTGGGCGTCATGTTGGAGAACCATGCTCTAGCCAACGCCCCACCCTGGCATTAACTAGACCAGGGGTGGCCAAACTGTGGCTCTTTCACACATATTGTGTGGCTCCTGGCAGGGTGGCTGGGAAAGCTAGGTATCATTAGCAAACAAATATCATTGGACAAATAAATATCGTTATCAATATCTGCTTTTACTGCTTTTCTTATTGTTTTTGGCAGTCTCATTTCATGTTAATAAAAAGCAAATTTGCATACTTCCCAGTAAAAATGTGTAATATTTGTTCATGTCTTGTGGATCTCAAACATCTGACGTTTATTCTGTGTGGCTCTTACGTTAAGGAAGTTTGGCCAACCCTGAACTAGACTGAGACCCACTAAGCTTTAATCTAGAGGCAGCATCATTTGCTTTAAACTGTGCTGTAATGAAGTTTTTTTTAAAAAAGTAATATTCAGGAAAGGCAATGAAAACCAAGATTCAGCCCTGGGGAACTCAGCAGGACTTACTCCCAAGTAAGCGTACCAAGAATCAGGCTTTACAGCCGCATAGTGCCCTGGCAGCCAGTCTGAGGGTTTTACTTCTGAGTAGACATAGGATTGAGCTGCAAATCAGCTCCCTCTCTCAGATGAAACAGCATCGCCCCCTTTAGATGGTAGAGAAAGCAGTCCTAAGAGAGCCTGTTTGGTGTAGCGGTTAAGAGCACGACTCTAATCTGGGAGAACAGGGTTTGATTCACTGCTCCTCCACTTGCAGCCAGTTGGGTGACCTTGGGTCAGTCACAAGTTCTCTCAGAGCTGTTCTCTCAAGGACAGTCCTCAAGAGAGCTCTCTCAGCCCCACCTACTTCACAGGGTGCCTGTTGTGGGGAGGTAAAAAGCCCAGTAGCACCTTTAGGACTAACAAATTTTATTGTAGCATAAGCTTTTGAGAAACATAGCTCTCTTCGTTAGACACATCTGATGAAGAGAGCTGTGTTTCTCTAAAGCTTATGCTACAATAGAGTTTGTTAGGTATTAAAGATGCTACTGGGGTTTTTACTATTTTACAGCAACAGACTAGCATGGCTAACTCCTCTGGGTCTATGTTGTGGGGAAGGGAAGAGGAAGGGATTGTGAGCCGCTCTGAGATTCCGAGTGAAGGGCAGGGTATAAATCCAATCTTCTCCTCCTCCTCCTCCTCCTCTTCTCCTTCTTTCCCACTCCTCCACATGCAGCTGCTGGAGTGACCTTGGGTCAGTCATAAGTTCTTTCAGAGCTGTTCTCTCAACGGCAGTTCTCTCAGCCCCACCTGCCTCACAGGCTGTCTGTTGTGGGGAGGGGAAGGAAAAGGAGATTGTAAACTGCTCCGAGACTCCTTCGGGTAGTGAACAGGAGGGTATAAATCCAATCTCCTCCTCCTCCTTTTCTTCATAGGTCTGCTCAGTAGCATTTCTTATATTATTCAGTGGGGCTTACACCTGGGAAAGTTTCCTTAGGAGACCAGTGCTGCTTCTTCGAGGCCCCATGCACATCTGTGGCATGAAGTACAGCAAGCTATTTTCTAACTCTGTGGCGCACGCAGATAGAGGTTGGGCTCCTGGCAAAAATAATTATCTAGATAAATATCACTGGAGTTGGCAGGTTTAAGGGCTTTTGGGGGAAAGCCAAGAGGAACAAGCTCAGACGTAGGCCTTACACCAGAGGGTAACCAATGCTTTGCCGCAACACACCTTCCAAACCCACAGACGCTCCTTTCCAGCTGAGGTTTGGTACCAGCCCAGGTGCAATTGGAGCATCCTTTCTATGTGGGGGGGAGGAGGAAGAGGCGGAGTCAGATATTTCTGCACACCTGGTGGGAAAGGCCTCCCACCCACCCCACCTGGCCGGCCGGTCACTGCGAGAGAAGCCTCTTTATTGTGATGATGAACGCGACTTCTTTGACTCACTTTGTCACGTCAGGTCTGTCCGGTTCTTAATTTGACTGTTTATTATTGCTAATTCCAGAGTTCTTTGGGGATGGCTGCTGTTTGGGAAGCGAGGGGGTGGGAAGAAGATAGGCTGCTCCTTCAGAAGTCTGGGGGAAGCACTGGGGGTCATGTCCCTCAAACCCAAACCCAAAAGTGGGTAGCAGAAGAAAGCGGATGTTGCCGTAACATTAAGCAGAGTGTTTAAAACAGATGGTTTCTTTTTAATGCTGGGGAAAGTAAACCAGCATTTTCTACCCTTGCCTTTGAGGGAAATACACACACACACACACATTTCCTGTCGAAACTTTATGAGCAATGTTCCCTCTAAGCTGTGGAGACTTGTGTGCAAAAATTCTACTTGGTGAGCTCCTGGCATTAAAGTTGTGAGCGAGCGATTTGGCTGCTGCAGAAATTAGCTTCCTCTGGAGCCCTCCTTCCTGAGCGAAGGCAAAAATGTGTGAGCTGGAGGCTAAAAAAACCTGTGAGCTAGCTCACACTAACTCAGCTTAGGGGGAACACTGTGAGGTAGCTTGTCTTAAAACTTTGTTTTTAAAAGTCTAATTGGCTAGGAAGGGGAAAAAGCAAAAAAAAGAGTTTAGCAAAAGGAAAGAGATGTACATATTCTACTCCTCTCCCCTTTCATCTAGGCAGCTTAGTGCCGTGGAGAGGGAATCTGCCCTGACGGGGAGGGCCCAGCCTAGCTTGCTCTCGTCAGGTCTCGAAAGCTAAGCAGGGTCGGCCCTGGTTAGCACTTGGATGGGAGACCCACCAAGGAAGGCCAGGATTGCTACGCAGAGGCAGGCAATAAGCTCCTTCTCTTTATGTCTTGCCCTGACGGGGCCTAGATCTCACCAGATCTCGGAAGCTAAGCAGGGTCGGCCCTGGTTAGCACTTAGATGGGAGACCCACCAAGGAAGGCCAGGATTGCTACGCAGAGGCAGGCAATAAGCTCCTTCTCTTTATGTCTTGCCCTAACGGGGATGTCTTGCCCTGACGGGGCCTAGATCTCACCAGATCTCGGAAGCTAAGCAGGGTCGGCCCTGGTTAGCACTTAGATGGGAGACCCACCAAGGAAGGCCAGGATTGCTACGCAGAGGCAGGCAATAAGCTCCTTCTCTTTATGTCTTGCCCTAACGGGGATGTCTTGCCCTGACGGGGCCTAGATCTCACCAGATCTCGGAAGCTAAGCAGGGTCGGCCCTGGTTAGCACTTAGATGGGAGACCCACCAAGGAAGGCCAGGATTGCTACGCAGAGGCAGGCAATAAGCTCCTTCTCTTTATGTCTTGCCCTAACGGGGATGTCTTGCCCTGACGGGGCCTAGATCTCACCAGATCTCGGAAGCTAAGCAGGGTCGGCCCTGGTTAGTCCTTGGACGGGAGACCCACCAAGGAGGTCCAGGGTTGCTACGTAGAGGCAGGCAATAAGCTACTTCTGTTTATGTCTTGCCCTGATGGGGCCTAGATCTCACCAGATCTCGGAAGCTAAGCAGGGTCGGCCCTGGTTAGTCCTTGGACGGGAGACCCACCAAGGAAGTCCAGGGTTGCTACGCAGAGGCAGGCCCTGGCAAAACCACCTCTGAATGTCTCTTGCCTTGTCCTGGAAGGCCCAGGCTAGCCTTTCAAAAGCTAAGCAGGGTCAGCCCTGGTTAGTATCTGGATGGAGGCCACCAACGAAGTCCTCTAGAGTTACTATGCAGAGGCAGGCCGTGGCAAACCACCTGTGAACGTCTCTGGCCTTGACCTGGAAGCCCCAGGCTTGCTCAGGCTCCTAAGGTCTCGGAAGCTAAGCAGGGTCAACCCTGGTTAGTCCTTGGGTGGGAGCCCACCAAGGAAGTCGGGGGGTCGCTATGCAGAGGCAGGCAGTGGTCAACCACCTCTGAACATCTCTGGCCTTGGAAACCCCACCAGGGGTCCCCATAAGTTGGCTGTGACTTGTTGGCACTTTCCACCACCAGAGGGGTCTTCCAAGTAATCTTCCATCCGGTTCCTGTGCAGCCTGCTTCCCCCCCCCCCACACACACACACAGCTTCAGCCTGGTGGCTTCATCAGATGTCTTTAGCCTTCACTCTGGGTCTGGGAAATGGACTATAGAACAACCTGGGGGACAGTGGGGTATAGAAGAAGAGTCTGGATTTCTACCCTGCCCTTCACTACCCGAAGGAGTCTCAGAACAGCTTACAATCTCCTTTCCCTCCCCCTCCCCACAACAGACACCCTGTGAGGTAGGTGGGGGCTGAGGGAGCTTTTTTGAGGACTGCTCCTGAGAGAACAGCTCTGGGAGAACTTCTGATTGACCCAAGGTCACACCAGCAGCTGCAGGTGGAGGAGTGGGGAATCAACCCGGTTCTCCCAGATTAGAGTCTGTGCTCTTAACCACTGCACCAAACTGGCTCTCTGGTAGTGGTTATGATGTTGTACCACGACCAGGTGAGACATGAGTTCAAATCCTCACTCAGCCATGAAGCTTACTGGGTGGCCTTGGGCCAGCCGCTCTCTCACAGCCTAACCTACCTCACAGGGTTGTTGTGACAGTAAACTGGAGGAGGGTAGAGTCATGTAGGCTGCCCTGAGCTTGAAAGAACGGCAGAATAAAAAGACCCTTTAAAAGACAATAAATAAATAACTACCCTGATCTGTATAGCCCAGAGTAGCCTTGTTTTGCCAGATCTTGGAAGCTAAGCGGGTTCGGCCCTGGTTCATATTTGACTGGGAGGAGGAGGAGGAGGAGGAGGAGGAGGAGAAGAGGAGGAGG